TAGTTGTGGACTGCTTGGTTGGATCATCACAATCTGCTTTCATAGCAGGGAAGAATATCTTAGATAATGCCATAGTGGCACATGAACTTATCAAAGGATATTTCCAGAAAGATTTATCTCCAAGATGTCTGGTGAAAATGGATATAAGGAAAGCATATGATTCTATTGAATGGGGAGTTTTAAAACAATTCTGGTGGAGTTTGGTTTTCCAAGAAAGTTTGTTAACTTAATAATGGAATGTGTTTCCACATTAAACTATTCTATTCTAATCAATGGGGGCCTTACTCCTAAGTTCAAGGCAAAGAAAGGACTAAGATAAGGGGACCCAATATCCCCTTACTTGTTTGTGTTGTTAATGGAATATCTTAACAGATCATTGAAGCAATTGAGGCACAACCCTGACTTTAATTACCACCCTAGATGTGGTAAGCTAAAGTTACTGTACATTTATTTTGCGGATGATTTGTTAATGTGCCGTACGTAGGGAAGATGAAACTTCTATAAGATTGATGTTTCAAGCATTCAATCACTTCTCTGATGCCTCACGACTTAAAGCTAATCAAGAAAAGATTTCTGTATATAACTGGAGTCTCTCAAGCAAGCACCGAAGGAGCAGATTTTGTCTGAGACACAATTCTCATTAGGGGAGATCCCATTCAAATATCTTGGGGTACCTTTATCCTCTCGCAAGATCAACATACAACAATGTCTTCCACTGCTAGAGAAAATGACTGGCAAAATCAGGTGTTGGACAAAAAAATTTCTATCATACAGTGGCAGAGTGCAATTGATTAAGAGTGTTCTATTTGAAATGTAAACTTACTGGGCTCAGGTATTCCTACTGCCAAAAAAAGTGCTACAACTGTTCACTAATATTTGCCGAACTTTCTTATGGACTTGGAATGCTCAAGCATCTAAAAGAGCATTAGTGACTTGGGAAAAACTGTGTATGCCAAAATTTGCCGGGGGTCTAAACATAATTGATTTCTTCACATGGAATAGGGCAGCCATATGTAAATTGCTTTGGACAGTAGCCTCAAAAAAGATATTCTCTGGGTCAAATGGATCCACAACATCTACATAAAAGGTAAAGAACTGGGTAGTATGAAGACTCCACAACAAGCTTGCTGGATTGTAAGGAAGATAATTAATGCTAGACAGTGGTTGCTAGGTGGTGACCCTATACATGAATTGCATAAATTTATCTAAGGAGGGAAGTTTAGTATCAAGAAGGCATACCTATCCCTCACCCCGCAGTACCAAAAAGTTGAATGGAAAGGTCTGATCATGAAGCCAATGCTACCACGATATCAGTTCATTGTTCTTGTAGTACAAAAAAGATTAGCTACAGCTGATCGATTGGAAATATGGAAGATACATGTTCGTAAGGAATGTGTACTATGTAACTCTGGTGCAGAGGAAAACTTAGCTCACCTCTTCTTTGCCTGTACATTCTCTGCTACTATCTGGAATGTGCTACTAAAATGGATGGGAGAGCACAGGCAATTGGGAACATGGACGGAGGAAGTTAAGTGGATAACCAGAAGAGTGAACAACAATAGAGTGCGAGCAGAAGTGTTGGGTTATCTCTTTTCTGCAACAATTTATCACATTTGGGGGGGAGCGCAATGCTCGAAGATTCCAACAGAAGCAACATCATACCAAGCATATCATCACGGAGATTGTACTCCAACTACACATTAGAGGGCAACGACAAAGTAGATGGAGAAAGATGCTAAATAGTTTAGATAGCTTTCCTTGCTAGCCATAGCGGATAGATATAGAGTTTAGTTCTGTCTATGTAATAGGTAGAATACCAAATAGGAGGCCTTGTTCTTATAGTCCAAAAAGAACGAGCGGTTGTAAATATATTCTTGGTTAAATGAAATTTTAAAAAAATCTTTTTGGAACAAAGAAAACTTGTAAAAAATCGAAAACATGTTTGGTATAGAAAAAAGTTTCCACCTTGTGTCTTCTCTACTTCTTCAATTGCTACAATCGAACACTACATTTTATCTTTTATCTTCTTGAAACTTGTCCGATTCGAACGAAGACAGTGAAGAATGAACTTGTTGTAAGAATAGGAACGAGTTTCTGTTGTTGTAATTGTTGTAGTCGTCTTTTGCTTAATCTGAAGTAAATTGAATTATTATTATTATTATTGATATAAACCAGCCAAAGATTGACTATATTACTAATACGACCAATGGAGAGGAGGAAATCAGCACCATTAACACTCTAATTTTTAGACAGGAGCTCATACGACGAAGAACCAAATCATTATTACAGTTTAGGAAAAGGCCCACCGGTTATATAATCAAAATACTTGCATTTTTCGCTTGTTCCTTATTCGCTTTGATGAATATTTGTGAAAACAATTCTATCTGTTTCTTTGACTCTTCTCCTTGGATTTTTCGTTGTGATTTGAGAGCTTAAGCAGCGTACGTGTTTCTCAAAAGTAGGATAATGGGGATTTCCTTGTAATGTCTTTGATCTCCAGGAAAAGGAAGAACGTCTATAAATTATTTTGGCGATTTTGATAAAGATAATATTTAACATATTTGATATATTTTTGTGAATATCCCATGAATTTATAAAATTTGAAATCACCCACTAGCTATAATTCAAAATACTTATATTTTTCTCCCGTTCCTGGCTCTCTTTGTCCGGCCCTATTTTCACCCTGAATCTTAATTAACATAAACTTTTTAAAAAAATATTGTACCTTCATTAGTTCGGTGAGTAGCTTATTTGGTGGCCATTGGAAGTGTCACTATTAAGTTTAGTTCATGTATTAAGACCGTACCATAATCATCAAGCCGTAGGTTGTACCCTAAAAGTTTAGGAGATGAATATAATTCCTTCTATTCTAGTTCAAATTAAGAGTTATATACACTCCCATTGATTCTTGATTCTATTACTAATGTTATCTTTCTGGTTTGGGCTGGCCCATAGTATCGGCCCAGACCATGTGATCGTAAAAGGGGTAAAATTTGTAAATAATTATTTTTTAGCTTTTGCAATTGAAAGTTAGCCGATGTAATGGAGTTTCAAAGTTTACATAAGAAATTCCGGAATATTATCATGGAATTTTAATCACATATCAATTTCCATACTTTATGTCACACTAGGACTTAAACCCCCCATCAAAGCATTTACACAAGAAAGTGCAAAGTGAAAATCTTTTTGCTTTTAAGAGGTTTCTTTAGCTGAATCCACTAAGCAACGGAACACCCATAAAAGGGTGCATTTCTTACAACTTCATTATAGACCGGTGGGGATCTAAATGAAGCGGGCGACCTGTACCTATTGTCTTTTGTTTGAGGTATATATAATTAAAGTTGGCCAAAATATATTATATCTTAATACTAAGTGTAAACTCATTGTCACAAAAAAAGGTGGGTGCAGAGTATCAGCAAAAAAGTGGTGGGTGCTAATAATTCCAAATTCCCTCTTGGTTATAGCGTTGATGACAACTTCAACATTACACTGGGAATTAGGTGCATTGCATCAAAATCCCCCCTAGCAGCTAATAGACCACAAACAACTATTCTCTTAGTAAGCAGGAATTGCATCAAAAAAGAAGAAGCCGACATAGAAAAAGCTATCTCCGTAAAATATACACCTCTATTAAGCTCGCCTTTACAACATTGCTGTGCCTGTGCACCACCATGAGTAAACTTAATATTGCAACCTTTAATAAAGACACTACGCATGTAATGGCAGAAAACATATACGTCACTTATGGTATCAACACCTCGTAAAACAACACTAAAAAAAAAAAAAAAGGGAAGACAGCAAATGTAAGATAAATGAAGAATTTAAAGTAAATTTGAATATTGTACTTTTCTTTTATTTCTTATGTAATCATTGTTCCAAAACTCATTTACCCAATTTATTAAATTTCATGTTTGGTAGTTCACTAAAAGAATTAAACGCTCATCTATTAAAAAATCTTAAACCCCCCTCACTTCGCTTCTTCCTTCTTTAATAACATCATTAGCATAGCATAAAGAAAATTTTTGATAACAAAGTCCAGTTATTTACTTCAATTAAAGTGGAATTCAATATGGAGTAGTGTTGTAGAACTTCTTTTAAAAGATACGCTATTCAAAATATAAATACGATTGAATAAACTAAGTCGTATTCTCCCACCCTTAGCAGAATCGCAAATAGCTTGTTTCTAGAAATTTCATTTGATCTTTTTATTTAGGTTCACTTCGGTTTCCAATAGCCGAGGGTCTATTGGAAACAACCTCTCTACCTGTTAGGTAGGGGTAAGGTCAGCATACAAACTACCCTCCCCGCATGGTGGAAACATTCTGGGTTTGTTGTTGTTGTTGTTGTAGTAACTAATTTTGGTATACTAATCACTAGTGAAAATTGTATAAATCCATAGCTTAGTTTATACGGCTAGCTATCTAAAAAGAAACAAAAATATATAACACTAAACAACCATCTAGCTTGCTTGGTTTGCTTTGCCAATACTTCAAGTATAGAAGATGGTTAGATTCACTTACCAGTTAAGTGAGTGAGGTTACAATGAATGAACTGTTACACATAACATGAATTACTTACTTTATAAAGGTATTTTTATATTTAAATAGTTAATATCCGCAAAAAAAAAAATAAAAAAAAATGCGTATATTCCCGGGTAACTCAACATGAGTAGTATTTAAAATCGCCGACCAAATGTTGCATTGGTTATGCAATAATTATTTTTGTCTTATTCGGCCAATTACACACTGCTATATTTATGCGAAATTTTATACTAAGATTAATTACTCCAAGAGCGCAACCAAAGTTGTAGCCCAAGCAAGGATTGTGATGTTAAAGGGGAAGGAGAGAAGCTAAAAGCAAGGTAATATTATTAAATAATGCGGGTTTAATTCAAAAGTTGAAACCAATAAATAAAACAAAGAATTTGAGAATATTGATAAATAAAGAGCTAAATGAAGTGAATTGTGCATTTCTCCCTTTCTTTTACTGGAGAGATTAGGTGCATTCATTGACAAATAATAATAAATATATATATTCGGCCATTCCATTTTACTATCACATATTGGTAGAGTAATAAACAGAGATCCCAACGTTTACAGCAATAGTTTAAAAAATACTTGAAATTGTAAGTCAAGAAGAATTTGAAACTATATATAGTACTAGAGGCAACTTTGCTTCAAGCTGCTTGCTCCGCTTTTCGATTAATGTCACTCTCTTAATCTTGATGCCGTGACTGTCATTTGTAGGCTGTAGGCTGATCTTCTTAAGAGAGCCTCGTCCAATTTCTAGCAAATGCAACGCAAGCTTATAATCAGTTGACGCCCTGTAAAACCGATTAACTTCACCACCTTTAGACGTTTGTGAACAAAACCGGCAGTAGCCTTTCGAGCTGCACGTTCCGAGATACGCACACCAATACCGACATACTGCAACAACAACCAAAAAGACCTCCAATCCGGAGCAAATACACTGGTTATTATCTCCAATATGAAAACTTAAAGCTTCTGTGGAAGTGGAAGTCATAGGTAACATTACCTGCTTATGTAAGGCTGGAATGTATATTATCTGCCGCAACAGAAAAATCAAACCAAACCAAAAAGAAGAAACAAACGAGTATGAGTACTACCGAAGAGAACGCAGGAAACGACCATCTCAAAATAGTAAGGCAAGTCTAAGACCAGCAACATTTAACTGAGTGAATCCATAAAGTCCAGAGGGCAGGGCATGTAGATGTAGAATATAAATGATATGATGAGAGTAAAGATGAGATACTTACCCGGGCTGTGAATCTAGACAGCAGAGGAGCTGCCTTGATAAAAAAAGTGAAGAAGAGCAGGCTTTCACCAGCTTCTAATGTAAGGTCCAATTCCAACTCCCTTAGATTGTTCAGTCTAGGGAAATTATCGGGGTAATGTAATGTGAGCCAACTTTCCCTCATAGCCTGGACCAAGAAATTTATAAGACTACGTGAGTCAATTATCAAAAAAGCAAAATGCAACTTCTAAGGAAATTAAGGGGGGAAAATGTGCTGTCAGAGTGGAAAAATGCCCGCCCCGCTTATCAATTTTCATGTTCAACACTCCCAGCGCTGCTTAAGTTTATTTTTTTCTTTTTTTCCAAAAAAAAAAACTAAAAAGAGCTTAAAAGCTGGTTAAAAGCCAATCCAAACACCCTCATAGTTTAATTGTAGAGCTTAAATTTGGAAAAACAACTGGAGTTTCAACACCCGGCCGCTCGCCCCGCAAGGCCTTAGACCCGCTCCGAAAGGATCATTAAACAAGAACTGATAATCAAATTCTCGTAATTGATTAAAAGAATTTTATCTAAAAAGTGGATGTGAGCATTCTAAACATGAAAAGGGAATTACACAAACTGCAAACAAAAGAGAAAATTAAACATCTGATGCACACAACAAAAATTAGTACTAATAAAGTAGAGATCTTTTTTCTGTTCTGAATAAAGTAGAGAACAAATTGAAAACAAGTCTAGTATATATTTCATAATAAGATCGTTAGAGAGATCTATAGCGAGAGGGAAAGAGAGAACTTACAGCTCGATTAGGCCAAAGCTAATATTCTACATATATTAAAAGATTTTCGACATGTCTGCTTAGTGTCTTTTCAAAAAAGCTTGAGGATAATTCAGTCATTTAGCATAGCTCTATACGTGCCTTTTTCCCCTTCCGCAAATACTACGTGTAGGTTTTTGGTTTCTTTCTCAGGCACCGCATCCTTTTCCTATCTTCGGTCCCAATATCTTCTCCATTGTTTTTTCCATGGATTCCTGAGAATTGTTCTCCTGATTTGCCACGTTTTTGAGTCTTATCATCTCGATGCTCCTTTTGGCTCTCTCTATCCTCTCTTTGTGTCTCCCCCTTCCCTTCGCTATCTCTCTTTCCTACTTGTATGTATCATCTAGAGTCTAGACGACGCAACCACTAAGAGGATGAAAATAGGCAAAATAATTTTCATCATCTTCCTTTTGTGCTCTTCCGTTGCGCTTGGACTGGTTAATATTGATTTGTCTGTTCAATGGGCAGTGTGCTGGATTGGCAACCGATGATAGGGACTAGGGCTCTTTGTTTCTAGCTTGCGGTGAGTTCAATCTATTTGTTTTTTTAAAATTCTTGATTTAGGGACTTCTCTACCTATTTCTCGCGGCCTTTACATTCTAGGCTATGCCTGTTTAAAATCCAAGACGCCTATTTTTATTTTCTTTGTGTCACATTTGGAAATGTTTTATTTTTAGTTTCTTTACTTTTAGAAAATCTCAGTGTGCGCTTTTCTTCCCAGATGATAACATATGTGAATCTTGATTGCATTGGATTTTCAAATATCCATAGATTCAGCTTGTTTCTATTTTTCACCATTTGGACTGTCGTTGCCTTAGTTACTAATGAATTGTCTTTTCCGAGGGTCTATCAGAAACAGCCTCCCTGCCCTATTGGGGTAGGGGTAAGGTCTGCGTACACATTACCCTCCCCAGACCCCACTTTGTGGGATTTTACTCGGTAGTTGTTGTTGTTGTTGTTGGACTGTCGTTGCCTTAGTGTTCTTATCCATTCAGTAAAAACAAACCACAACTTATCCTTTGATCAAGCTTTTCAATTCAGTAAGATATGCTAGATCTTTTTATGTCATATGTTTTACTGCAGAAAATTAGAAAATGGAAGTGTTAGCTTCCTTTTCTGTTTTTCTTTTTTGATAAGTAAATATGACAACTCTTTATAGCTCGAATTCGATAGTCATGATTGATAAAGGCTGATTCTACATGTTCTGAATTTGGTGTATGATCTGCATATAAAATATCGCACGAGAAAGCATTAGATTGTACGTTATCCATTTATATGCAAAATCGACAGAGAATTTTTTTTCAAGAGAGCCTTAGATGGTGTAATTATTTATAAGCTTGTTAAATTAATCTCTTCACAAAACTTGATGTAAGCTTTTTAGCTGTCTATTATTCATTTTTATCTTTCATATTTAGGTGACAAAAAATATACCCTTTTTCTTAATGTAGAGATAGTGCATTCGTATGCACAAGATGCATCGCTAAAAAAAACCCTATGAACTTGACTGATCACTTGGAAAGTAAAGTTCATATGATTGGCAATAAACAATATAGGTAAGGATACAGTGTACTTGAGGAGCGAGGCTGTCAAACTCAATTAGGTCCTAGGATGATTTAATTTTGTCTCATTGTCTTAAGATAGGCTTCTCAATTTAGATCAACAATTTACTGAACCATCAATGTATTTCCTCTAATTGGTTATGGAAACAAAAATTAAGTAGATGATGGTAGGTTCATTGCTATGTGTAATATATATTGATTGCCTGAAATTGCACAATTGTATCAGTATATTTCTTGCTCAAGCGCACTGGAACTTTAGAAATTCATTATGAATCAAGAAAGTGGCAGAGAAGAGATGGCATTCTGTTACATTTTTCATATCTTATTTTTTGAAGATTAGTTGGCTCCTACATTGTTTTTGTGTGAACCTTCCAATTTGAGCGTTTAGTTCCGGTATAACTATTCTTCTTTTATATGCATAAGTTCACCTCGGAAAGAAAGCAAAAATATTCCTCTGTGCGTTCTTAATTGCTTCACATTTGTTTGTTGCCAAGCAGAATTGTCTTCATTCAATTAAGGTAATTTGATAAATGATGTCCAGGACTCTCAGGCTTTCTCCTCTTCTTGGTTCTTCTTAGTTAGCTGGCAAGTTTCTAGATGAAATATACTCATTTTACTTTTTGGGAGATGTAAAATTACACATAATATTTCCTACTTTCTTGAACTATGACTTATAAATAGGAAAAACTTGTCTCACCTCAATAACTTTATATGCCGTCAACTACAACATATCAATAGAAGAGAAGCTACATTAACATAAAGTTTATTTTGTTTTGCGATATCTAAGAACCTGGTTTTTTCCGGGTGCTTCTTATATAGAAACATACAAGGCATATATAGTTACTGAAGTCATAAAAAAATGTGCTATTGCAGTGATTCTCCATAACAGTGTTCACCTACAAAGTGATTATATACTTCGTAGCTAATCAAGTTTCTTTGTGGCATGGACTGACTTTTCCCGTGATAAAAAGATGGAAAGGGAGCTATCGGGGAAGTCTCAAGATGATGACAGCCACCCAGGTAACAGTCTGGATTCAGAGTCGTTTATATCTTGGTTGGCTCGATCACCTCGTCGAGTAAAGTTTTCTTCTTCCAGGCCATCGAAGAAACAGAAATTGTTTCAGTTATCTACCCATGTTGTCTCATCACTGCTACATGCCAAAACTGAGAGCACAAACTGTGACGACCCGACCCGTCGTCTCAGGAGTTACCGTTCCGTTTTCCCCATTTTATACTTCTTCATGTTTCATTATTGGTATTTGGTGTGTTAGAGTTGATTTGGATTGGTTTTGGTAGGAAATGAGATACTTAGTCTCTTTAAGGAAGGTTTGGTTTGGAAAAGTCAACTGGAGGTTGACTTATGAGTTATAAGGCTCGGATGCGATTTTCGGTGATTCGGTTAGCTTCAAGGGTTGGTTTTGACTTAGGAGTGTGATCGGAATTGATTTTTGGAGGTCCGGTGTAAAATTAGGCTTGAATTGGCGAAGTTAGTATTTTGGCGAATTCCGGTTGATAGGTGAGATTTTGATCCGAGGGTCGAAATGGGATTCCGAGAGTTGCTGTAGCTTCGCTAGGTGATTTTGGATATGTGTGCAAAATTTTAGGTCATTCGGATGTGTTTTGGTCGGGTTTTTGATCGAATGCGTATTTCGAAAGTTTTGGAAGAACTTAGGCTTGAATTCGATGAGAATTGATGATTTTAGTGTTATTGGATGTGTTTTTATGATTGGAACAAGTTTGAATAACGTTGTAGGATGCATTGGTATTTTTGGTTGAGGTCCCGGGGGCCCCGGGGTGAGTTCGGATGGTTAAACGGAGAGTTTTGGAATTTTTCATGTTGCTAAGTCTGGTGGTATCTGGTATTTTTGCACCTGCGATAATGGGACCGCAGGTGCGGTCACGCAGAAGCGGAGGAGGTAGTCGCAGAAGCGAGTCTTGGACTCAGGGCAAGTTTCACATAAGCGGAAGTGTGGACCGCAGGAGCGGTCCCGCTGGTGCGATTTCTGAGCCGCAGAAACGGTCGAGGCATTTAAGTGAAACCGCATAAGCGGTATAATGGCCGCAGAAGCGGTCCCGCATAAGCGGAAACGGGACCGCAGAAGCGAGAAGCCTTGGCAGAATATTAAATTAGTCTTCTTCGCGAATTTTTGAAAGAGTAACATATTTCACTTCGGACTTGGAGAGTTTTTGGGCGATTTTGAAGAGGGTTTCAAGGGCTTTGATCAGGTATGAACTCTTGGACTTAAAACATGATTTTATGGTGTAAACACATGGATTAGAGCTGAAAACTTAAGAAATTAAAAGTCAAAAATGGTGGTTTAGGGCTTGAACCTAAGAGAGATTAAACTAGGGATTTGAGGGGTCAAATGGACTCCGATTCTTGGGATTTTTATATGTATAGACTCGTGGCGAGATAAGGGATCCGATGATGTAAAATTTTCTGAATTTCGAGAAGTGGGCCCGAGGCTCGGGTTTTTGCAAATTTCGAGATTTTTAATATTTTTCGATTGTTTCGATTGGGTATTGTGCCATTGGCATATTGTAATGTATTCACTCTGATTTTGGATAGATTCGACGCGCGTGGAGGCCGGTTTGAGGGCAGAGGCATCGCGAGCTAGAGAATTCGCCGGTTCGAGGTGAGTAATGATTGTAAATGACATCCTGAGGGTTTGAAACCCGGATTTGCACATCATAGTGCTGTATTGAGGTGACTTGCACGCCGGATAGCAAGCGTGGGGTAGAGCACCGTTGGGTATTGTGACTTGGTCCGTCCCGATTGATGAATTTACTGCGTATTGGACTGAAATTAGTTGTTATCATCATAATGTGGGCTGATTGCCATATTTGGGCTTCGTGCTAGCTATTTGAACCCTTCGGGGATTGTTGTTGATAATTCCTCACTGTTTTAAATATATATTTGAACTCAGTCATGTGTTTTCCACTGTTTAAAACTCAGCCAAGTTTACTATGCCTTAAACACTCGAAATGATATTTCTAAATATATTTTTGGGCTGAGCATCATGCTTTATTGTTGCCCGAGCGGCTTATGTGATTTTGTTGACTGAGTAAGGCCGAGGGCCTGTATTGTGAGGATACCTTTGGATCGGGCTG